AAATAAGAATTGTAATTGTTACTAAAGATCTCATTAATATTTTATCAAATGTCGTTATCACTACGTTTAGTTTATTAATAATCGGATTTTGCATGATATACGATCTTTGTGAATACTCAATTAATTGTAAATTTTACCAAGCCAGGGATAAAAAAAAAAAGATGGTCTACCGTAAAATGTTTATAAATTAAAATGACAACTCACGTATTATTTATTTACTAATAAAAATATATTAATTACGTGATAAATCTTATTAAACTACGATGTTTATTTAAATATTCATTACGATTGACCCCTTAGAATATTTTCCGCTAAGTAAAATTTATTCACCGACACTTTTTGACTCATTGATTAATGAGTTTGAGAACGTCCTAAATCAGCATAAACATATGAACGTATCTAGCTTCAGACAAATCGGTTTTAATATCTGAAGGAGTTTAATTTAATATACGAATTCATTCTTAAAGACTTTCGTTATCGGCTAAACTAATTTCCTTAGAACCGGTTAAAATCTTGAGTCTAACGATGCTAAGTGGTTCACCTAATTTTTCATAACCATCATAAATTTCTCATATCTAGGATGGGAAAATCGAAGATTTTTTGAATCCACTGCGCAGGCTGCGCGCAACGTCCCATCCCTACTCATATCAGGTTACGGAAAATACAGACCAAAATCCTTTAATTTAATATGATCTAGTTTATCAAATGGAATATATAAGGTACTGTACGTATTTTATATATCGATATGGTAAAAAAAATTATGCGCAAATTATAACCCGTCGACAGATTATCAATAACGTGTGGAGAAACACTTAAATACTATTGGCCAGATCTGATTCACGTGTTTAATATAATTTCGAACAGATTGAGTTCGAATTTCGAAATTTCGAAAATTTCGGACATTTAAATGTTAGATGAAACTAACATCGGCCATATTTTGGATTCGGATCGTGCTAAATATTTAAGTTTCGCCCGAAACATTACCCACACCTACTTTAAATAATTAATAATGTCTTTAATATGAGAGATATTATGCACGATAAAAATAAAAAAATAGAATGTCTATGTATAAAATTTTAAGCGCAAAACTTTATAAGTGCACTTCTGTACTAAAAAGTTGGAACTTTTTTGCTAGAACTCAAAATGGTTTATAATTAAAATTTTAAGTATAAATTGCCTGTTTATATGTACAAATAATAATTTAATAATGTGCTAACTCATTTAGCTCGTCTTTTTTACAAAATTTGAATATTTCATATTCTTCAGCTGAAAAATATGAAAGTTTGTGGTTAAGTTTGTTAAATGTTGATATATCTCTAATATGTTTTTCATAAACGTTAACATAATGACAATAACAACCCATATCTTGATCAAATTTATCTTTCATTATAAGACCACCACGAAAAATTGGTCCACATCCAGGATTACAGCAAATTCCTGCTTCTGATGTCCTTGCACGGCTTAAAATAGAATTATTGATGGTATTATTTTTCAATGAAAATATAAAACTATCACTGCAATACTTATTAGTTACTAATTCTGATTTTTCCCATCCAATAGGATTGTATCCACCAAGAATTTCATCGGTACCTTTAACTTTAATAACTACGATAATATCTGTTTGCTTGTTACATACATTCCAAAATGAATCTTTAGTAAAACCATCTCTACTTCCACGAAGTAGTAGCTTAGCCTCATATGAGTTATTTGTCAAAGAATATGTATCGGTTTTTCTATAAATCCATGATGCAATTTCGGCCAAGTGTTCATCATTAATAACCGTTGAAAATGGTTCTGCTATTCTCGTCGGTAATGTTTGTGTTAAAATTACGCGAGGTGGGAGAATAATTGATGATATTGGTTGATTTGGAGCCATAAATCTCTTTTTTATATCTTTCCAAAGGTTTTTATCAAGGATTTGTTTATACGGTTGTATTTGATTATAAATATCTTCACCAGAAATATGAAAATAACGAATAAGAGGCAAACAATTTTGTAAAGTAGTTTTCAAAGTTAAAAAATCTTCATGATCCCAGTTTTTAAGATCGGATGGTAACCCAGAATTTTGTGCAATCCCCCATTTAATAATATAATTCCAAATTTCCACTTCTTCCATCCGTAAGTCATCACGGCAAATTAGTGAAACTAGTGCATTCTCTGATAATGAAGTGAAATATTCACTATCAAAAACTTGGGTTGGGTATTTTGCTACAATATTGTTGCACCATTTTTGTAACACTTGAAGCTCTTGATTTTGATAACTTTTTTGATAAATATGAGAAAAATGTAATCGAAGCCAAGAAGCCTTGGTTTCAATTAAATGAGCCTCCAAGTATTTGACCAACTCTTCAAGAAGAAATTCGCAGGCAATAATCATGAGTTCAAAAATAAAAGATGTATCATGATTTTCCAATGAAATTACACCTCCATAGATATACCTTCATGTAAAATTTATTTAATTAATAAATTAACCAATTTAAATATTTACAATAATATTATAAACGTACTTGATAATAATGTCAAATTGTTGGATGGAAATATGCTTTAAATCAATCGTTCTTATATTATCTCGACCTGTTCTAATATTTGCCAATTGATTACGAAAATATAAAGATCGATATCTTAAAATAGCCGAGTGTGCCTTAAATATTTTCTCACTTGAAGGCTCACCGACATTAATAATTACATCATAACCCTCTTTATCATTAAGAAGTTCAAGATAATTATTGGAGAGATTTTCAAAAAATTTTGCCGCCATTTTAAGGGTCTAAGTAGTATCGATATCTTGTCGTTTTTAACTTTATTTTTGGAGCGAAAAAACTTGTTTGTATGGGAAAACTACTTTTATCCACTTAATCCACTTATTGCCTTTTTTAAAAATCTAACGCTAAACGATACAAATCCAAAAAAAGGAGTCTGTACACCACGAGATTACTGGGGCCAATCAAATCCTTAACTAATTAACGTTAAAAGACCTCCACCTCCCATAGAAGTTAAAATGAGATTAGCATTATCGCCGCTGTCCTTCACTGACTATCATAACTAATTTAGTTATTTTCTAGAATATTTTGTGATCATTTAAATTATAAATACTAAATACGCAGATAAAATCCCGCATCTTAACTATTACTATCAATTTTTATCTTATCATAGAAATTCAAGTTCGATTAATAGATATTTTTGTTGACATAAACTTTAACAAAGGTGATTATTTATGTGTATATTTTTATATTGTTCATCTAAAACAATTGATATCTTATTATTTTAAACTTTGTTACTATATATATCATGGATTGAAATGCGTACGTATACAATTTACGTAGGTACATTATTATTATCGAACATCATTTCATTCTTTAGTTATCCAAATATTCCGCTCTTCAATAATATAATGTAGCTAGTCCTTGTTTGGAAAAATAAATGCATATATTATATCATTATCGATTTATATTTGTTCAAAAACCAGATTAATCATTTGTTCAATGAATATCCACACAGGCAATTAATTTGATAACATCAATCCATTTTAAAGCAATACATTATTCATAATACGTCATTAATTCTTTTTTTAATTTATATTAGTTTGACACAATACAGAATGGATAAGATAACCATTAATTTACCGTTTGAAACATTAACTCAAGTATTCCAAAATTTATTTGAAATTTACGGTTGTTCTGTAAAAAATTGCATTTATGTCAACAAATCATGGGCTATAGCTGCACTTCCAATATTATGGAGAGCTCCGTTTACGAACACTGACAACTCTATAAAATTGATTGAGACTTTACTCTCCAATCTTCCGGAAAATAAAAAAATTGCTCTTACCCAAAATTTATCCTCAAAATGGTCAAAATGTTTATCAAAGAATACCACAATGTATAATTATGCTGAATGGATACGTGAACTTCCTTTCGAATTGATTTTTAATTCCATTCGTTGGTGGTTGGATAGCCCTATACCGCAAAAGAAGAAGAAAAAACTACTTCATAATAAAGTTTATAATACTTCAAATGACCATGAACAAATTAACAAAGTTCAAGATGTTTACTCTATTTTAATTCCCTTCATTTTTGAATCAAGTAAAGGTTTGTATACTCTTGATCTCACTTTTCAACCTGGACAATCTCGTCTACTCAACTTGTTAGAACAAATAGAAATTTCAAACGAATCTTTGAGATCAATCACTGATTTATACTGTCATAGTATAATTCCAAAAAATTTTTACGGAGCTCTTAAAAAAGTAACTCGAAAATTAAAAAGATTACATTTAAATCATCCACAACAAGAAGAGGATGTTACTGATTTAGCTGAACTTATTCGTCATCAAAAAGGTCTTCAATCAATAAGGCTAAATAATTCTAGAACAAAAATATCAATGTTACTTCAAAGTTTTAGTAGTCAAGCTGCTACCTTAACGACTCTTCGACTTCATACAATTCTTCTTATGAATAAGGGATTGGATGCTTTAGGAACTCTAGTAAATTTGGAAACTTTAGAAATAAAAAGGAGTAGAACTTCTCTATTTTATGCTTATGATCCACCTGATCCGTTATGGATTATGCCACACTTAAAAAAATTACATTTGATAGAAATTCGTGTGTGGGGTGATATGTCAGCCATACATTCTATTTTGAAAAAGACTGTTCCAGTACTAGATGAATTAGTAATTAGTCAGTTTCTTTCAATCAATAATGCCATTCAATTAGCTATCAATAAAAGATTACCTCTAAGACAAGAAGAAAATTCTAAAATGACTATTACTTTTACTAGATAGTTGGCTGAAAGATTTAATGATTCATCAGATAATTTTTGGATTTTTATTCAAATATTGAATTAGTAATATATGGTTTGATACAGTTTGGTAAGATATTGTAAAATATTTTTTTTTAATGGTTATTTAAAACTCGAGACAAAACGAAGAGGTGTATTATAAATTATGTTTATTTGATATTATATATATAATAAGATTTCACATTCTGTATTTGGTATTTCGATAATTCAAAAAAAAATTTAGCATGTTTAGTATAATATTGAAAACAAACCGATTCTTATAGTCAAAATTAAGTTTGAACAAGTCCTTTTATTTGCATTACTTTCTTAAATATTATATTTAATTACAACCTAAATAATCGCAATATATTTTTTAATAATGCTGTAGTCAATAATTTAAAACATTTAACGTTCAAAGATTCTTGTTTATTCATAACATTAGTCACAATTTCTAAACTTTGACACTACACGGAGTATAGCTTCTACTTTTAAGATTGATCTCGACCAGAAGGATTTTAATCCGTGTTTTGAATAAATTTAATAAAGTTATATACAAAGGATCATCACATTTTCTATGAATTCATACTATGGAATTGGCAAACAATAAAATTTTAGAATAAACACCAAACAAATACTTTTCTACTCACTTTACAGATTATTATTCTTCATCATACTTGTCATCACAAATCTTAACCCAACAAAACACAAACCCTTCTTTTTGCAACTCATTCTTCAATTTCTCTATATTAAGCATCACATCTTTATCACTTTCATCTTCCCATAATCCAACAATAGTACCACCTGACCCTGTAAATTTGGCTGCAAACCCAAATTTCCTAGCCAATTCAATCATTTTCAAATTATTTTTTCCAAGTGTTTTACTTCCAAATATCTCTTGTCTCAAATTAAAATTCATATTCATTAACTTTGCTAATTTCACACGTTTTTTCGTTTGTGGAGTTGATGAATCAAGTAAAAGATGATAAGTCTGTTCAGCATAGGACGCAAATTTAATCATGGCATATACCACCTAAAAATTATGCAAACATTTAAGAAATTAATAAAATTGATGTTGTATATTTTAATAAATATTTATGAGTGAAAAGGGAACCTTTTCATTCCCAGCTTCGTATCTTTTTCTCACATCACTATGAATTTTACCTAAAAATTTTGAACGAGTTATAAAAATAATATTTTAAACATAAAATTTTTAAAGTTTGATAAAAATACTTCATTATCAATAATTGACGTAGACATACCAGAATCACTAGGATTCCCTTCGTAAGCAATCCATAATCCTTTAGGTATTAATTCACTTGGTATTCTTATATATTTTCCGATCCCACCGTTCCTCTCCATAAATTCTTTTTCAAAATCCATGTACATAACACCTCCAAAACTCTGTATAACTCTATCTTGTAATCCTGCATTAATTCCCAATTCAATAAGTTCTACGTCAAGTATCAACTTTGCTTGCATTGCTAATGAAATATCACCATTCTCAATCCCGTAAAATTTCATCAACGCTTTCCATAAGGCAGTAATTATAGCAGAAGATCCGGATAGTCCAACTTGTCGTGGTATATTTGTTTCATAACATAACCTAAAACCTTGCTTATGGAGTACAAAGTTATTAGTTTTGCAATACCTATAGAATACTTTGCAAGCTGCTTGGAATAATCTATCAGCATTCGTATAACCTTCTGTAGAAGATAATATTGATAAAGATTCAATAGTTGAGAATGAACTTTTTGTGGTTATTATGGAATGAAAAAATTCGATTTTAGAATATTCTTGTGTATGAGTGAATTTGTTGGGGATTAGTGTAATTTCTGCAAAGAAATTAGAGATCAATAGAGAAATTGTCTTTCCATAGAAACCGTCTGATGGATTGCCCATTAAACCTATACGCGCATATGAGCGCGTTGTTATTGACGTTGATTGATGACTCGATGGAGGATCTTTTTGGATGAATATATTACTGATGAATAATGATTTGAAGAGAGACATGTATTCTTTTAGAGTTAGAAACGGGTCCTTCCATTTGAAAAGAGGTTGATACGAAATCATGACCGTTTTTGTGGCCAGATTTTTATTCATCATAAATTGAATAAACTTTTCGATACTATCAAAAGAATCATTAGAATCATTGGCATTTATCATTCTTTTATTTTTTAGTGCATATTCTTCGATTAAATATAATGCACTTGAATGAAACACACATGCGATCAAGTTGATTGTATTGATAGTTTCATCTTGATAGAGTTCACTAGTTGTATCAAGCAGATTTGCCGAAGTTATAATGTTTTTATTTTGTTTTGATAATTCGTCATCGTAAAATATAAATTTAGCAAAATTATTATCAAATAGCAGTTTATTTAGAGATGTGTCGTTAAAAGAATCGAATAATAATTCTGCCTGCATAACAATAGTAGAGTTTACAAAACCCTTGACACGTTTAACAAGCTCAATATCTGCAAATATATCTTGACTTTCATTTACGAATAATTATTACCCAATGATTTTGAAAAGTTGTCAGTGTTATTGTTACAAATAACATTAAAACAAATTTTACATCTTTATCTACATCTTACCGATTCTCAAGTAATGTATTTCCGTTATTAATGATATTAGATTTCGGGATACTATTCGAACATGCCCATTTCAAGTAACTTGAATAACTTTTTTCAAAGAAACCCATATAACTTTTATTAATTTTAATTCAGCATGTTTAGACCTCCACATGAGCCGGATAGGACGGATGTTAACAACAGTACCCTACCCGTTTGTGTAAGGGCTCAATTTTCAAGCCCTTACACTAGGGCATGGAAATCGATGCTCTAGCTGGCTCTTGTGGGCTTACCCCCAAGCCCATGCAGAGGACTAGGCATTATACATGTGGCCGAAACTATTTCGGCCAATTCAAACCCAGTTATGGCATAAGCTGTAATAGTTTCGACTCAAACCGGAATAATTTCGGCTGCATGTATATCAAACATCGTATCATTAAAAATAGCACTTACTTATGAGCATTAGTCACAATGAAAACATCACCTTCAATTTGACTTTTCAAACCATCATACCACCAATTAATAGCGGTCTTTCCAGAAATTGGTAACAATGGTTTCGGAGAACCACGTAAAGCAATAATTTCAGGATCACCATATTCTTGCTGTTCTTTGATTATACAAAAATGAAGCAATTAAAAAAAAAAAAAAGAATTCCTTTTAATGAATTAACCAATGATCAAAAAAAAAAAATTGTAGCTCAACAAATGAAATACCTTGATTTCGTATTCAAGTTTTGTGGGTTGAGAAGTTGCGAGAATTATTAAGTTGTGTAAGTTTTGCATATCGATCGTATTAAAGAAAATAACCATTGTTGCGTCATTTTTTATAGACTACTTTCGGTGTTACAATGCATGTGATTATACCAGGAACGTCGTAATGAAATTACGGAGTGTATGGTTAACCGACAACTAGATGGTTAGTGAACAAATTCCGGGTTATGATTGGATGGAAGTCGGACATATGAAACTATATATATGCATGAACAAGGTAAACCGTGCGCAAATCCAGTGAGTCGTGTGTTAGGGTATTAAGAATTAGGGCAATATTGAAGGTGGTTTTATACAAATATGATGAATATTGTTAATACGATATGGCGAAAATGGAAACTTTGAAATTGTTTTTTATTGATGGTGATAAATATATTAAATAGTAATTAGTAGATTCGTATCAATAACGTAACCATTTTTGAGGTTTGTAAGTAGGAGAAATAATATGTAAAGTCACGTTATAAGATTGTGAGTAAAATAAGGTATGGTGGATGTAACATTACGTAATGATCGGCATCGTATTTTTCGGCTTAGAGTTTAGAACCGGTTTTATTTTTCATATGTTAAAACCGGTTTTAATCGATTTTATTATATGAAAAATAAAACCGGTTTTAAACTCTATTTCGGCTTTATGGTTAGGAGGTTAAATTTTTTTTTTTGAATAGGTAGAGAAAGCAAGGTGGTTGAATTTTGAGAAAATAGGGTGCCTAAGTGGTTAAAATTTATGGGTTTGAGTATATGATAGAGGTACAGGTAATGTTTAGGATTACAGTTGACCGTGGAAATAAGGGAAAAATATAGGGTTATTGAAAGGTATTTAAACCTCGTGTATGTATTAATGATAGTTTTTCA